CACACACACACACACACACACACACACACACACACACACACACACACACACACACACACACACACACACAAGCACGCACACACACCAGGACCATCCTAAACGTATCCATGCTGAATTGCGGCCACATACATACAATTTTGTTTAAAAGTCTTTTTGAGTGGGAAGATAACCTTACACGTATAAGATTGTTTGGAAGCCGCCGTCTTTTCATCCACCACTCCATGTCTCTCCTCTTCAATCTGGCCTCCTCCTTTTGCTTCGAGAGAGAGTGCAGAAATGTCTGCGCAATCAGTCAAGCAAGGGCATGTCTGAAACCAAATGAAACGATGGTTGACAGATCAACAACATTCTACGGGGCTGTGGAGGCATACAATGACCACTTTTATTCTATTTATCAGTTTTTTTATTGTCTTTTTAAGTTTCTAATGTAATATATGTATGATTTATTCATGCAAGGAATATGAGCGGGAGCCATAGACAGAAATCCAAGTTGCAAAACAACCAAGTAGCTCAGATAGTCATGAACCAAGCAGAGAGTGCACTGCACCAAATACCGTCCAAATAAGAGCAATCAATGAACTCAGGTGTCAATGTCGCCACTCTCTGGTCACACCAACACTGTATCCAATGTCGCCCTTACTGTCTGGCGACCAGCGCCCAGCCTCTCTACGTTCTTGCAACTGGATCACTTTGAAGTCGAAGACCAATGTACGTGACGTCAACACCAATGCCGGCCAGCATACACCAGGTATGTTCTCTCTCCTGCCCTCATCAACCCTTGATCACCTCCTCATGCGCCTCCTACCCGAAGACCACCATCGCCATCACCTGCATAGCGCCCCTGCAGCCAGGCTATGGCTGCTGTGCGCCCGCTGCCTCGCAGCGCCCCTCTCACCTCAGTGCCCATGCAGACACTAGTGCAGCAACGCAGCAGCGTGTCCGCATTGCCTGCCAAGGCCAGACCCCTCTCTCCGTGGCTCACACTCTCCTTTACGGAAAGTGTGTCGCTGCTGGCTGTCCTGGGCCTCGTGCAGTTAGGCACGTCCAGGCAGACACCCAGCCTCCAAGTGTTTGCAGCATTCTCATTGACTCCTGGCACATGTGTGACGACAATGCTGCTTGCTCATTGGCCCGTAACCAGTCCGTGATGTGTCGGCCTCACACAGCGTGTGCCCAGGGCGCAACCGCCTGAGCCCGGGGCTCAACTGTACAGCGCAGCCCTTTGCTTCTGGAAAGAGCCTGGAGGCTCACGTTGCTCTGTAACCAACTGGCATGTCGCAACTGTCTGAGTACCCACATATGGAAAAATTGAGAAGAGGCCTCACGTGGATATTCAGGCCTGCCTTCTCTTAGGGCGGGCACGAGGCTTGCTGGGGGCCACAACCCAGAACACTTGTATGTCTGATAAGGGCTCCACGAGGCTCATTCCTTGCATTCCATCCCCCTTAGCTTCAAAAGTCCGCTGAGATGCTTCTATGCAGGTGCCTTCCCCTCAGTCTTCGTTCGTACTCAGCCACGATATGAGGTGCTGTCTTCACAAGCTGCTGTCTTGTGAACCAAGGACTTTCTTTTGGATCCGTATGATGCCTGAACCTGACCCGGTACTCCCTCATAGGTTTGGGCGGTCTAACCCTGCCAGCAGGCTTGGGAACAGGCAAATCTCTGTGTTCCAAGATGTCGTCGACGTCCACGTGGCCATCCATGGTTGGGGACAGCATTGACCTTCTTGTTGGGAATAGATCTGTCTCAGCAAAAGGTGCAAGTTTGGAAGCGTGAAATACAGGGTAAGTGCGCATATGACCAGGGATTCTGATGACGTACGAGCGACCATCTAGATCACTACGCACAATGTCCAGGACTTCCCATGGACCAAAGTACTGCGGCATTAACTTCCTAGAGATGCCAAACTCATGTCCCAGCTCACTAGCCTTTACCCAGACACATTCCCCTACCTGAAATGTGGACTGTCACCTATGCTTGTTCTCAGAGGCAATCATTGCCTCTTGAGACTTTCTGATATGCTCGACAACCTGCTGCAACAGTTCTTACACTGGACACCAAATTCAATGGTTCCATGAGTTGCAGTCGGTTGATTCTCAGGTAGAAGGAAGTCTAGAGCAGATGTAGGCTTCCACCCCAAATGCAGCTGGTTGGGACTGACGCCGGTGGTGCTGTGTACAATGTTATTGTACAGACTGGCGATGAGAGGAAGTTTCTCATCCCAGTCATCTTGGCTGGGCTTTATGTATTGCCTCAGGAGATGCAGCACCACATGGTTCATCTGTTCCGCTTGACCATTTGCTTCGGGATGATTTCCCAAAGTCATTTGGAGTTGACTGCCCATCTGTTCAGCAGCCTTTTTCCATATTTCACTTTTGAATCTGACATCTCTGTCACTGACAATGGTTTTGGGCAGTCCAAAGTCACGCATCCAGTTAATCAAGGAAAATTTCCAGCAAAAAGATAAGTCCAGTAATACCACCTACAGGCAAATAACGTAATACATTTTTGTGAATTTCTGCTATCTTTATATTTAGCATCATAACCACAAATAAAAATAGAACAGCAATAGCTCCTACTCTGTTTTCGCTGTTTCCGACATAGGACTTAGTCTAGCGTATTTAGCAAACCTATCAACTATGACGAAAATGTGCCTTTTGCCACTCTTGCTGATCACGAGGGTATCCATGAAGTCCATGGAGCCCCTCTGTCCGGAACAGCAGGAATGGGCAACGACTTCAATAACCCAAGTGGAGCTCGAGTTCGCGGCGTGTCCCACTGATAGACCTGACAAGTCTGTACGTATTTCTTTACATTGTCAGGCATATTAGGCCACCAGAAATGCTGCACTAAATTAGCACTAGTCTTCTTATAGCCGAAGTGACCGGTTGCGTCGAGACATTCTCCGAAAAACAAACTACGAAGAATCTCTCTAGAAGGAACACAATCTTTTAAAACCCACCTTCTCAAGAAAGACTAAGCCGTCCACCAACACAAACTCGTCAGATGTGGCCTTGTCTTGGGCCTCAAGTTTGCGTATGATGTCCATCATGACCAGGTCTTCCTTGTAAGCTTCCACCAAAGAGCAAGTTACATCATCGGATAAGCCAAATTCAGTAATCAGCGCACCTAGGCAGTCTGCCTTACGTGACAGCGCATCAACAACCTTTTATGCAAACTTAGCCTATCTACATCTATCTACGTTCTTGCACGTACGGCAGACTACCTAGGTCGTCACACCAACAGAGTATCGAATGTCGCTCCTACTATCTGGTGCCCAGCGCCCAGCCTACTCTACTCAGCCTATCTACATCTATCTACGTTCTTGCAACCAGGTCACGTCGCAGCTGAAGACCAATGTACGTGACGTCATCACCAATGCCGACCGCCAGCGTACACCAGGTAAGTTCTCTCTCCCCTCCCCTCATTACCCCTTGACTCCGTCTGCATGCGCCTCCTACCCGAAGACCACCATTGCCGTCACCTGCATCCGCACGCTCTGCCCCGCTATGGCCGCCGTGCGCTCACATCCACTGCCCTCTCACCTCTCAGCGCCCGTAAGCGCCCCAGCCTGCCAGCGCTAAGCAGCACTCATCCGACAACACAGCAGCGTGGCCGCATTGACTTGGCAGGCCAGAATGTTGTGCCCAGGAGGCACACACTTTCCTTTATGGAAAGTGTGCTCGCTGCTGGCTAGCCTGGCTAGGCGTGTGGGGGTCCAGTAGCTTCAGTCTGGCCCCAAGTGTCTGCGCCCAGGCCCAGTTTCAGATATTGGCCTGGGCCTCGTGCAGTTAGGCACGTTCAGGCAGGCACAAAGCCTCCAAGTGTTCGCAGCATTCTCATTGGCTCTCGGTGCATGTGTGATGACAATTCTGCTTTCTCATTGGCCCGCGACCAGTTCGTGATGTGTCGGCCTCACACAGCATGTGCCCAGGGCGCAACCGCCTGAGCCCTGGGCTCAACCGTACAGCGCAGCCCTTGCTTCTGGAAGGAGCCTGAAGGCTCACGTTGCTTTGTAACCAACTGGCGTGCTGCAACTGTCTGATACTCCACATATGGAAAATGTCGAAAGTAGGCCTCACGTGGATATTCAGGCCCGCCTTCACTTAGGGCGGGCACGGGGTTGCTGGGGGCCGCAGCCCAGAACACTTGCATGTCTGATAAGGGCCTCACGAGGGCTCATTCCGTGCACCTTTTACTGTGCCTGTCACGTACAAGGTTTCCCATGTTGACTGTGGTTGAGTGCGAGCTGTCCACATCCCCGAGTGCCATCACGGCCCTCTTGAATGCTATGAAAAGGAGGCAGAGTAAAGGAAGAGGGGTATATTTTGTCTGGTCTCTTTATAATGCTCCTTCATATGCCTTTAGTAATTCTCCACACAGGTGGGGGGAGAAGGGGGAAAGGGGAAGGGAGGGAGATGGGGGGAAGAAAACAGAACAGGGGAGAGATGAACTTCACAGGGTTCTCAATATTTACCGGCAGAGCAGGCTACTATAGAATGGCAGAAGAAGTGAGTCAATTTCAGGAAACGTACCGGCCACTACAGGAGCGCCAAAATTCATCCGACTAGAAACGTTTCTACTCTTTTTTTTTTTTCCGCGGCCGATAGTTCCGCGGCCGATAGTTGGGCCAAGTACTGGTGGTTTGAGGAGCAGGGTTGCCTATGATCGCACAGAACTGTTTCAGTGTCGACCGTGGAAATATCGCATCCATTTCTGACAGTTGCTGCATCGAATGGTGCAGTGCGCAGTGTAGACAGATGTCACAGGCAACATGGCTGCTGCCTGCTAGGATCATAGAGGCACATATCGTGTTAACCTGGACTTGTTGAATGTGAAGGTGCATGCACGACAAATGGGATCAGGTGCGTGTGTGTTTCCAGTTTCATTAGCTGACCGGCCTCTTGTTGTCGTCAACCAGTGCGTTTAAGGAAGAGGGCTGTTTGCAGATAGATTTGAACTCACGACTGCATTTCAACATTTCATGGGTGTACCAACTGAGCTAGTCTCGTTGGTAAAGGCCATTTTTCCTTTTCTCTTTCTTTTTCTTTGTGTTTGCAATTCTTTCTTTTTATCATAAATGGCGTTGAGAAATGGACTGGCCCCAGGTGATTTAGGGTATTACATGACGTGCTGATAACATTTTGCTGGGCACTGTTTTGTTGCAGCTCCTGAAGACATTGGTCTGTGTGTTTGAATCTTTACGTGTGATGGTGCTCTGGCATTAACGGACACGACATGATGATGTTGTTCGAGCTGGAGGCAAAGATTCAAACCAGT